TTTGATAGACTCAATCATCTTAAATATGAGCAAAAGAGATTAAAAAAAAAAGTTGAGGCCACAGCAACATTTTTGTAATTGTAAAAGGGACTTTGTTTTGTATAAGAAATGGCCACGCTCACTATGCTGGCCGACACGCCGTCGCAATAGATGCTGGGAGCTGAAACTGATTTTAATGGGGCATGTTGTGGCAGTTTCAACATTTGATTTATTCAGAAAGGGAGATAAAAAAAGGACAAAAAGGAACTGGTGACAGATACCAAACCGCAGCATTATTAATAGTTCAGATTAACATCCATACCGATTTGTGTAAAAACTGTAAACCTCTTGAAGTTTTTCTTTTTCTTTCTTAGTTCAATTTTAAACAATTTGGTTGCACAGGGAACATTAAAAAAACCTACCAATGTATTATTCTGCCATGAATGTATTGTATCTTAAGGCTGGCGCGTGCGTCTGCGTCTTTACGCACCGTTGTGTCGACGCACTCGTTTCAATTCATGGTTCTAAAAGTCTTGCGTGTGTTGCAGAGCCAGAACAACAGGTGGAGTAAAGTGGACTACAAAAGAGATTTTAACCCTTTTTTCAATCCTGTGCTTCCTACAATCAGTGCAATACATTATTTTCTTGGCTGCATCATGAAGCAGCCATTCTCGACTGGATGTTGGTGTCTTTTCTTTTTCTTTTCATTTTCAGTCTCATCAATTTCTCTTTCGTATCTGTGCTCCGGGTTTTCCTACACCTGCTGTGCCGCCACGTCCTCGTCTTGCACTGAGCAGATCTCCTCAAGTTTATCAAAAGCCTCCACCGGTCACATGCGTTCGCGCGTCTACCTTGCTTAGCAACGAACGTATGGTGGCCGAGAGGGGAAAACAATACTTGCACGACACAACGTTAGCAGGACAACTTTGTTTACGTCGCCTTCTCAAGTTAGCTCAAGTGAGACAGTCAAGCTAAACTGATCAAGGGCTCAGCTCGGCGAAGTCGAAGAAAATAGTCATCGCGGCCCGTAGTCTTTGCACAACAACCACCACCAATGCCACCAATGTAACCGAGCGTTCTGGGTTCGTGGATGATGCACTCATGACCCGTTAATAACCGCTGTAACCCCTCAAATACCTCCACTCGCATTCGGTGGGCGGGCACTAATGTCCTTTATCTAACCAATATTTATCTTTTCACCATTCGCAATTGTTGTTTAAAGCAATGACATTCTCGGACAACATTCACAATCATGCCTACAGTCTATAGAAAGTTGACAAGGCCAGGCTTGTGCTTTGCTGTGGTCTTGCTGAACTTTTTCTTTTCAGAATCAATGAGATAGCCCCTTCTAAGCGAGCCTGAGTGCTGTGTTGCAGTAATATTCGTATTACACCAGATATGGTGTATTTTTAATGCCAATATCGACTAAGCACTCACTACATGGGACATCATCAATGTTTAGAGTAATTTCATGTGGCTGCAATGACTAGACATACCTTTTGTGTGTACTCCAAGCCTGTACGAACCAAATGTAAATATCTTGCCCCCGACGCAGCTTATAGCTGAAGGCGGGAGGTTCTGTGGGAGAGACAAGTGTACAGCCGGTGAAATCAGTGTTTTTACTCCACATGACACAACATCATCAAGCTTTAGGATTTGATTAAATAACCACTATTAATGACGGTCACGTAAAGCACGTTCAATACAACCCACCTTTAATTCACTAATCTCTGAGATCCATTCTTTCACAAAGTTATTCAACTTCCCGAGAACTGCAAGTCTGAAAAGGAGATAACTTTAAGGGGGCATTTCATTCACAATCCAGCATTAATATTAATTTAACGGCGAGAATGAAAGTGATGAACACATCACATTCACAAATTCTGCACACGCATAAATAACTGATCATCAAATGCAGTACAATAAATGCTATATTTGTTTAAGCTCAGTTAGCGTCTGCTGAGAATACATGCGCTGGAGCATTATGAGGAAAAAGTTACTGTTTTAGTGGCACTACTTGTACCTGTAGTTGCGATTGCTGCAATGAAAAGTATGCACCGTTGTGTTATGGTAAAAACAACAACAACAAAAAAAGAAAAACACAATTTGTGTTCCTCACCGGTGGTTCAATTCCTCTTCGTCTTCAAACACCCCAAAAGGTTTCATAGCGTCGCAGAGCTTCTTGGTGTACTGGTTGTCTATTTCTCGCGGGGGGGCCAGGCTGATGGCAGAAGTGATGCCATAGTGTTTCTGAGGCTGCTGCCCACCAGGCATGTTGCTGCGAGGGAACGAGCACAACACACGCAATGACAGCACAACGTTACTACTACATTTTTTTATATTACGCTCTTGGTTTCTCAAACCTCGTGTTAATTAAAAACATGAACGCGGAGTCAAAGCGATTGCATTAATCTTCCTGCCCGGTGCTTTGCTAGATGTGTACACTCGTTGCGTACGACACTGACAGCAATGTGCTAAATGCACATTATTCACAGAAAATGCATACGCTTGACTTCGGAGTTTGGCGCAATTAAAAACACGAAAGGTGACAAAAAAAGCAGAAGCGTGTTCGAAACGAGCTAACCTATGCTATCATCCAAGCTGGCGGCGAAAGGACGTTAGCCTTGCGGCTACAAACAGGTTGGAAGCGCTAACAAAATTGGCTAATTTAGCAAGTTAGCCAACGTTAGCTCGCCGCCACGGGGAAGAACTTCGTTCAGCTAGCGAGCCGCTTACTAGTTAGACATATTTAGCAGTTGGCATTTTCTCAAACTAAATCAAGCGGCAGTCGTTGGTTTGGTCAGACGCACTCACGCCGGAGTTAACGAACAACAAACAAGCGCGCTAGCCAGCAAACGGTGGCTGCGGGCCTTGTTGTTGTGACAGTTGGCTAACGTTAGCTTTTAGCCTATTCTTCAGGACACTCTTAAAACGCGAAGAAATACGGCCAACGGGGGAATAGTACGCCACGTGTACGACTTACCTCGACATTTCTTTCATGACACTTTGAAAAGCCTGCGCTGTTTTTCTTGCTGTGAACCCGTAAAAAAAAAACTAAGAAAGTCAGCAAGTAGAAATGATAACAGCCTCGACCTGATTACAACAATGGTCACTTTCCAGAGAGGAGTTCAAACCTTCCCACTGAACCGGAATCACTTCTTATAAGATAACGTATCAGCGCGCAGCGTCCATGCTGACGGGATATTCATATCCTCAATTGATCTGCGTTATTGGAACGAAGGCACCTGGCGCGGGATTAGTAACTGTTTGGGACTTTTTTTAAATTCAAAACTACAAATGTTACGGCATTTTGTGGGAACAATGTCTGCGTGCAGCACGCCGAGCGACCATCGTCAGAGGGCAAGCCCCTCCCTCAATGAGCCGCGAACCACGTGACCCCGCAGGCCCGATTCCGCTGCTGAACACACACACACACACACACACACACACACACACACACACACACACACACACACACACACACACACACACACACACACACACACACACACACACGTACCGATCACTCAATGCGGGAACACGATGTGCACCGAAGCAAATTCATGAGGATATTATGAAAATTACATCAAAGCTAAATCATAATATTTTGGTGGGTTAATATATAAATAGGAGCTATTTACCCCGGTGAGATCAGATTAAAGTCGAAGGTTCAGTTTGTTGGGTAAACAGATAGACACATATACACGCTTATATATATATATATATATATATATATATATATATATATATATATATATATATATGTATATATATATATATATATATATATATATATATATATATATATATATATATATATATATATATATATATATATATATAAGCGTGTATCTATCTATGTCTATCTATACACGTTTATATATATATATGTATACACACATACATACATACATACATACATACATACATATATAAGCGTGTATATGTGTCTATCTGTTTACCCAACAAACTGAACCTTCGTCTTTAATTTGATCTTACCGTGGTAAATAGCTCCGTTTAGTGGGAAGTTTACGTCATTACATCTGGTGGAAAATAAGCTCAAATAAATCGTGTCATCATTATCCATTATTAACGACTTCAGTGTGTCAATGATCCTTGAACCTGTGCAATTTTCCAACATAAAATGTTTCCTTCAACAGAATCATAACTTTTTGAGTCCCTTATCGGGTTATAGCAACTCACTTTTATGCTGTCTTGATTGATAATACCATGCAAATACTAACAATACCTGTGAAAATACCCCTGTGTAGTGAAATCCAACTATTTTCTTATTCTGTTTACTCTTTATTTCTGTGCCCAGTCAGTGTACAGCTGCTAATATGATATGATATGTTTCATATATTTTTGCTCTAGTTTGAGCTGTAACATCTGGGCTCGTCTTGTTATCACAATGTTCTTAATCAAGTAAGAAAAATACTTTACTAATATATTCAATTTTTCGTCAAAATTGTTCTTAGCACTGTGATTTCATACGGAAACCTTTATCGAAAGTTATGCAAAGGACATTGTGTACGTTGTGTACATGTGTAACATTGTGTAAATACTTGTTTTGGACCACCAACACGTCGCCCTTCTAAAGCGCTTCAAACCTTGTGTGATTGATTTATTGTCTTTTACATTACATTGCATTACAGGCCATTTAGCTGACGCTTTTATCCAAAGCGACTTACATTACATTTGTAACCCATGGCTTTTTTACATTTTTCCCCACGGAGCAATTAGGGGTTAAGTGTCTTGCTCACGGACACGGGGCAGCCAGGACTTGAGCCACCAACCTTGCGGTTCCCAGCCCACCCTCTGTAGCCACTGCGCCACCACGACCTCGTCTTGATGTGGTACATGTATTAGCAGGAGAACAGTAGCGTGAAGGCCCACAGGCTGTTCCCTGCATGACCTCACCAGCGTTCCTTCTACATCCTTCTACACTATGTTACTTATTACAACTCTGCATGCAACCCGTTATCTGCTCTGGGGAGCTTAACTCCTCCCCTTTACACCCTGCCTCACTCCTGAATTTTGGACTTTCAGCGCCAGTCAGGTTGTTTGAACTGCTCAGGCCAGCCCAGTCACAGATTTAACACTGCCTGCAAAAAAAGACCCCCGTCAGTTTGCAAAAATGAGCCACGAACCTCTTGTGAATGTGGGGAGCTGGATTGCAGCGAACGAGAATGCTTTCCTGCCACCAGTGTGCAACAAGCTCATGTGAGTAGTTTCACTTCGGATGCAAGCAACATTGTTGTTTTTTCTTAGATTGACAGTGTTCGGTGTTTCAAAACTTTAAAAGTCCGATTAAAAGAATCCCTTGAAGTGTCAGAGAAGCTGACGGTCTTTCACGCCCGTCTGGCAGGCACTTTTCCCAGTTGATCATCATGTTTGTCGGAGGTCCCAACACCAGGAAGGATTACCATTTAGAGGAAGGGGAGGAGGTGAGAGAGAAGTACTCCTTTCTTCTGCCATGGATGCTGTTACTCAGCTAATAGATCTCCAATGTATTTCTTTTCTTTCACAGATAACAAGTCGTAGACAAGTCAAGATCAAAGGTTTAATGTGAAGGAGTCTCCAAACATTTGACTACCTTTGGTACTGCACATTTAAATGCGAATGGAAAAACAAAATATGAAGTGTTCGTACAGAATCAAGTCCCAAACAGTTTGATCCAATAATAACATCCTTTTATCAACAATTAAGAAACAACATCACATTCAACGCCGTCAACTTTTTAGCTGTCCAATCAAATGGGGACGATTTGCGATTTGATACAGCAAACAGGGCAAACTCCACCTGCGACTCATGTTGTTAGTATTCAGTGGTGATGCCACTGTTTGACCTTTCTACACCGTCATAGATACTAATGTAATCATTGTCAAATAAGTCAGTGATTCATTTGATAAAGGAAAAAAAGAGGGGTGAACACTCCTACTCTCTCAATTTCAAAGCCGGGGTCACGGTATCCTTGAGGAGGCAGCAACCTTCATACGGAAAAGGGAAGCCGGTGCAAAAGTGCCTTGAACTTTGGGTTCTTTCTGATGACAGGGGGCAACTCCTCTGGTTCCCAAAAAAAGTAAGATTCAGATTGTACAGAAGTCTATTGGGAGATGACGGTGCTTGTCAGCTGATTTATTACCTCAGTAAATATTGTAAACATGACTTTGTGGTGTCAAGATAGTTTCAAGGCTTCATCAATATAGCGTGATGTTCATTTAGTAAATCAGGGTCCGCATGGAGTCAAACACGAAGCAGTATTCCGTCGGATGGGGTGACTGTGATTGACCAGTGTCTACATGGCGTTGTTGTTCTGGACGTTTTCTGTGTTTTTGTTTTTGAACTTTCCACCCGCTACCGTCACACCAAAAAAACCCTAAATTGCAATAATCTCTTGATATTTCTTCTTCCTTTACAGCTGTTCTACCAGGTGAAGGGTGACATGTGTCTGAAGGTGATAGAAAATGGGAAGCACAAGGATGTGCACATTAAGGAGGGACAGGTATGAGCTCCTGGATTTACAGAGCCGAGTCCTTCGTGATACAACGTGTGAACATCGCATGAGCCATATGCCATCCCTCTCTTCTTCCTGCAGATGTTCCTGCTGCCGGCCCGGATCCCCCACTCCCCCCAGAGGCAGGCCAACACGGTGGGACTGGTGGTGGAGAGGAGACGGCTGCGGGCCGAGACCGACTGCCTGAGGTGAACTGTGTGTTTTTCCCGTCTTACTCTCTTCTCTTGTCACATCTTCTTAAGGGAGTTGAGGTCAAATAATTAACACAAAAACAACGACTGACAATTTACAAATACAGGAAAATCCTAACTTTGGAGTTTCAGTTGGTTTGAATCATTGTCTGAAAGAAAAGAGCAGTTCTTACAATAGTTGACACTCACCAAAACGTGTGTTTCCACTTGTTAAAGCAGCAAATCTCTGCTCCAAAATGTATTGTGTTCCTCAAAAGCCTCACAACCATCTTCAACGTCTCTACTCTGTGTCTGATAGAACAAAAAGATTTTACGTTTTTACTCTTACAGAAAATTTAAAAGTAACCATCTTTTACAAACCACTGAATTAAATTGCTTCTCAAATTACAGAGAATATCATATCAGATTTTTTTCTTGTAGATTTCAGTCTTTCCCACCATCAACAACGACAATAGTACGTCGTAGAAATGCATCGAATCAGACGTGCAGTTCAAATAATTTCCGATGGACACTGTGTCTGAATAAAGCCCAATATTGAGCGTGAAAGTAACAAAAATGGGTGTAAGGGCAGCATTAATGTGAGTATGTGCTGGTGCCTTCAGGTACTATGTGGGCAACACCACCGACACCCTGTACGAGAAGTGGTTTTACTGTGAGAATCTGGGAACCCAGCTGGTGCCGTTAATCAAAGAGTAAGATGTCTTTCCCTTTGACACACTCACCAAAAGTTTCCATCAGATGAGTCGGGTTTGGTTTTGAGTTCCTTTATCGTTGCAGGTTCATGGCATCAGAGCAGGCTAAAACCGGAAAGCCCGATCCAAGTGAGACATTTCTTGAGATTCTCGTAGAAAAAAACTCCAATCTGACGTGTGATCCCTGTCAGTTAAACTAGTGTCCTCCTGCTTGTGTTTGGGCGAGCAGGGGAAATCTTCAGAGAACCGCCGTTCCAGCTGAACACCATGAACACGATGACCCCGTTCTCCTTCAAAGACTGGCTGGACAAGCGCAGGCCGTCGCTGTCCTCCGGCGGGCCCATCGACATGTTCGGAGCTCAGTTTGAGACAGAGGTACCAGAAATCAGGTTTTCATAATCGTTTCACAGTTGCATGAAGTAAAATGCTCATAAAAATTGTTGCACTGAGGATCCCCCTAGAGATTAAAGAAATTAATATAAACTAAATAACTTAAAAAAATAATACCATGCTTTAAAATGACAACATAGCAGAAAAACATGTAAAAATGTGACTTAAAAGCGACCACTGATTCTGAAAAGAATAAATCATGTAAAAAGTAGTCGTTTTCTCATAGATTTACATATAATCTGACTTCATTTTGCGATAGGAAGAGTCGCCCCTCTGGTGGCCATTGGGAAGAATGCAAGTTTAAAGCAGTTCCGCATTGCCGTCCGCAGGGAGGGTGTGATAGAACCCTCCTGTATGGATGTGGATTGCAATTTTGCATTTTTTTAGCAATCCCTTGAATGTAGCGGCATTAACAGATGCTTTTAAAAAAGTTCAGTTGCATATCCATATGATCCAAGACGGCGCCGCAGCTGGTTGCCTCTGTATGTTGGTGCTCTTTCTATTGTTTGCACCACCCGCCATGTCAAATTCCTTGTATTTCAATCATATTTTGGCAATAAACATTCCTGATTCCATCGATTTGATCGTACCTCAAGAGGACCAGATCAGACTGCATCCCTTTATTTCTAGCACATCAGCAACATGGCCGCCCCAGTAAGACTGGGAAGGTGTCTGAACCCAAGACTCAACACGGTGACCCGGCCTTCATGCAATCACCTCGTTTTAAACAATGTAATGTAAATGGAGAAATATCAGGAATAGAAACAGAAGATAGATGGAATTGATCAATGATTTCTTGGAACATGGAACATTTGCTTCCCTATTTAATATTGTTCTTTTTTTAGATTGTTAGATATAGTGGAAAATGTGTATAAATATAACTCATTCGGCATACTGTCACTTTTTTAACCATGACGGCTTTGGTGTTCAGTATTACATTATTGATAATAAACGGTTGCAGTGAATTTGATGATGATGGTGACCATGACAGGTGATGGTTTTTGGACCCGGGGTGACGGAGACGTCAGTGCGGCAAAGCGACGTGTGGATCTGGCAAATGGTATGTTCCCTAAACGTTCCCTCCTGTACCCTCATATGTCCTGCCAGTCGTGATGTGTTTGAGATCACCGTCGTCTGTCCTCGTCTCTCAGGAGGGATCCTCGACCTTTACTATGAACCAGCAGGAGTTCCCTCTTTCTGCAGGAGACAGTTTACTTGTTCCTGAACAGAGCCAGTGGGTCAATTCTGTCATTCAACTGCCTGCATATTCTGATATTAGTTGTAAAAGAGCAGTAATAACCCTGCATATGGTTTCTTCTTCTGCAGGTACCAGTGGCAGAGAGATGAGGGGACTGTTGCCCTGTTTGTGGTTCAAAACCCTGAGCGGAAGAGACCCTGAACATCACAAGCCAAATCAGGCATGATTGAAATAGTACTGTGTGCGAGCATGGACGAGTATTGAGATGCACATACTAAACTGATTAAAAAATTGAAAGAACGAATTTCAGTTAAAAGCTTTATTATATGCAACTACACAGGCCAAAAACAAAAACCAACACACAACACTATGAGTCTAGGTTTTTACAAACAATCCCATGTCGTCAAATTACATTCTTGTGTTGCAGGTCCAGTTAATCTTAGCGGCCTCTTTTTTATTTATCAGTCATTTAAACTGGTTATTAACTACGCGGCCAAATGGAGTCTGGGATTTGCTTCCTGTGTGTATATTCAAGAAAAGTTACTAATATAGCCTGAACGAATGATCACTAAAGAGCTAAATACATCAGGAATAATAAATTGATTGTTTGAGTGAATTTCTGCGCCGGGGATCAGGTTGATTCTATTCAGAGTGACTCTAAATTACCTGTAGGTGTGTGGATGAGAGTGTGAATGGTTGGTTGTCTCTGTGTCAGCCCTGCGAGTGACTCCAGCGACCTTGTGTGCAGGATAAGTGGTTTGAAGATGGATGGATGGATGGATGGAGATCCCTTACGTCTTGGTAATGACAATAGTTTCAGGTGATTATGTATGAATAAAAACATAGTTATAAATCCTGAACACTGGTTCTTTTTTATTAACTTTGGCTTAAAGTGTGTATTCACGTAACACATACAGGAGACTGAGTCTGGGTATTTAGCTTTACGCTATATGATTAAAACAAATCAAATGTTTGAAGAAATAGTTGAAGTCTTAAGTATCTGACTGAGCATAAAGCGAATGAACAAATCCCAGACCAGTCCTTTCTAAACCAACAAATATAACGATTACATTATGCTAACAAATCAGTTTTCACAGCATGCGATGGCTCCGTCTTATCTTAATTTGAAAGGGGAAAGAAAACACAGACAACAGTTAAACTGAAAAAAATGTCCGATTTAATGGCGCAACACAGGGACGTGCAACATGTGCATCAACCATAAATGCCTCGCCGCTCCTTTTGGCGGCGCCCCAGTCCAGTCTGGTATCAGTTGAGTCTTATCCTCAGCGTGTTCTCGATCACGTGCTGCTCAGCTATGAATGCCGCCACAGTCCAGGGCAGAGCGTACTCCAGAGTCACCAGTCCCGCCAGGTTGTACGTGTAATGGGAGTAGTCCCAGGGACAGGCCCCCAGCAAAGTCAGCCCCGCCCCGCAGCTGAACTCCCACAGGTAGATGAACCCGGTGTAGGCCGCCAGGCGCGCCGGGAGCGCGAGGCGGCGAGCCAGCAGCCGGCCTCTCATGACCTCCATCAGGTAGATGGCGGCGGCGTACATGGGCAGCGCCCACAAGCTGCTGTGGCCCGCCAGCCTCCAGTCGCGGGTGTACCACCAGTCCAACGCGGCGGTGAAGGCCACCTCGCAGAGGCAGCCGTGCAGTGCGTACACGTAGAGACGGGCTACGGTAGCGAGGGGGCGGCTCGGCGCTGCCGGCGCCCCGAGGTCTGCGCCGGTACCTGTCTCAATAAACACGTTATTTGCACCGCCTTCTTTTTCATGAGATTTCCAAAATGTGGCAAAAAGCAGAGATGGATCACTAACAAGGTTAACATGTCGAGAGTCTTTATGTCTTAAAATACTATTAAGTGGAACAATTTAATTGTGCCAGGTCGGGAGGAGGAGTGAGGATCCATCGAGTGTCTGACCCTTAAACACATGAGATATGATAATAAGTTAAGGAAAACCTTAACAAAACGACCATCTGTATGTACGTTGTACTTCCCTATAGTTTCCCTGCTTGAATAGGAGTGTAACTTGTCCTCGCTCTATTTGTTAGTAAAGATGGGAAGTAGTGAGCATACTTCTGCATAGATTACACCTTGTGGGAGAGTTTATAAACACGGGTTTTGACATATTCTTGCCATTGCACATTTTCCCCCTCTTTTCATTTGAGGAGGCATGGCGGGAAAAAAACCTTTTCTTCGTCCTGTGAGTAATTGGTAACAACTGATGATTTAGAGGGAGAATTCCTTTAAAAGAGCCGAGAGGTCGTTCATTTTGGACACAGCAGGTCCGAGCTAATCGCTGCGCCAAACTAAACCGATCCTCTCGTCTCGCTCTTTGAGAGAAAACAAATAAGTTAAGTAGACTCTGTTAAAACAAGGTTAAAACACTTAATAAAAGTCATTCTAATTCACCCTTATTGGTGATGAACAACATATATTTGCATGAACATTAATGACTATTTTACTCTAGTTCTTGGTTTCTGTGTCTAAAAAAACTGACAGTTAACTTCAGTTTTCGTAACTTGAATTTTATTGGCTTATTCACGCAGGGACTATAAGTGTTTTCTTTCTAGATTTTCTTCTCCACGTTATAATACTGGCTCCTCAGTGAGAATGCAACCCTGTTCCGTCCCACGGTGTACATGCTCTACTTTGGATTAACGGGTTTACAGCCCAGTTTAGCTCAGTGAAAGTCTCTGATAATCTTTAACAGCGCTTCAACAAAAGTCTCATTAACCACAAAAGACCCGGGGTGATGGTTCCTGTCATAATCATTTACCCTGTAACTCTAGTAGTTGGCAGACTTTAACTGAGATTAGGATGCAATGCCAACAGACACCATATTATTCCTCAAAGTGGGACCTAAAAAAGTCAAACACAATCATACTTCTCACCTGGGTCATTACTACCTAGTGCTCTCCTGGCATTGCGCTTTCTCGCCTCCATCCTCGTGCAGCATATGGGTCCCTGTGCCTTTGTAATCCCTTTGCTCCCCTGTGTGTGTGTGTGTGTGTTAGTGTGAGAGGATCTTGGGCTAAACATTAAGGGATGGACCCGGAAGCGAAAGCCGGGATCCACCTGGAGGACAAAAACGTCCATGCGCGGCAATGAACTGACATGGGGAGGCTGCGTGAGTCGTCTCTGTAGGGAAATGCAGTGTGTGTTTGACGTGTGAGGGTGAAGGCAAAGGGTTATCAGTGAGCCGCAGCAGCTGGGTGTGTCAGAGAAGACACACACACACAGACACACTTATTGATGACATTGTAGCTACAGTATTCTTCAGTAGTTTTCAAAATGTTGGTTCCCGACCGGCAAACGGTTGTGATAAATATTTGATTATATCGGAGTGATGTCTTCTAGTTGTTGTAAGTTATTGCATGTCTGCATGTTGCGCTAAGGCCTCTGTAGAAGGTAGAGTCTGAATTTCAATGACTTCATTTTAAATGTTTGTGTGATTTAATGAGGTAAATAAGATAAATGCAACATTTAGTTAATAGTCACTGTAAATGTTGTTTTTACATTCATCTACTTTAAGCAGCTTAATAGTAAAGAGATTAACCATATGAAGATTGTTAATCATTGTTCATCTGCAATTAATAAGGTAAACAAGATCTTGTGAAGCTGCCACTTCAAACACAAACACCCACGCAACATAAATATGGATGCAGTTTTCACACAGTTTCACACATGCACAGCGTACAGTTTAACCATAAAGTCTCTCCGGGAGCAGATGTCCGTCCACATATTTGGCCTCTGCCGCGTCCTGTGTGTTTGCTCTGTGTGTACTCTAATAAAACAGTTCGATGAACGGTGGACCTTCAGATCAGAGTCCAGTGATTCTAGCAAACACACCTTTAGGGCCCGGAAGAACGCCGCTGTACACAAGTCAATGACCATAAAGTTATCGAGTAGACAAAGGTCGGACTCTTCGCACATTGGTGAGCCGGGCGGACACAGCGTGTGTTGCATTGGTGGATGCTGAATTACCACCAAAGAATATTTGTTTAAGGAAATGAACATTCTCTATCTTAGAGCAGAGTGCTTTCACCTGTTGCTCTTTTCAGGTCACATGTGTGCTAAATTCAACACATTCAATTTGAAATGATCTTGAAATCTATTGAAAGGAACAAAAATCAGGTGTTCAAGATGGGAAGAAACAGGCTGTTATGAGATGTGAAGTTATCCTACAAGATAAGAGTTTATGAGAGAACATATTATGAGGCAAAAGATAGTATTTTACACTGCTGACAGCGCTCTACAATTGTCAATGTTTCAGTATGATTGTGATTCAGTATGATTGTGATCACCATTTGTGTGTATTTGAAATTCAGTATTTTTTTTTTTCTATAAAACACGTTTTATTTTGAAAATATTGAGGACTGCGGGTCCCTTTTCCCTCGTAGTGGCCACGAGCTACGTTAGATATCATAAGCTACTTATCTAGTCTTGATCAATCACTCAGACTTGCTTTTCATTCGTTTCGCAACTCTAGTAATGAAAATGTTCATGAACAAGAGAAAGCTGTGGAAGACCTAAGGAAAAACTGCCGCTTATTTATTGCGCCACCATTTACGATTTTGTACCGTCATGGCACAGCCCCGCACGTTGTTTCAGATCCCAGAAACACAGCGGACTCGTTTCCGTGGGACAAATCGATCATTCCATACAAACCGACGCGTTAACGTCTGCTGGCAGTCGGCGCTCCAGCGATTTTAGAAACAAATGACGTCACAGGTAGGTTTAAAAATCCAAATGGCGTGTGGACACAGTGAGCTCCAGTGGCGCAATCGGTTAGCGCGCGGTACTTATATGACAGTACATTGTAGAGCAATGCCGAGGTTGTGAGTTCGAGCCTCACCTGGAGCAGAGTTTTGATAGAGTGTGCAATGCAAAGTCACGACTTTTTGAAATCATGCTGACTGAATTGTCGTCTTGTAACAACTGTTATGAATAGAATCGTCGACCACATGAAGTAGAAACGTATATAGCGGATAGAAACGTCCCGTATGAAGGCTCTCTCTAAAGCAGATGTAGGAAGTAAAGTAAAAAAAAACGTTTTTAAAAGAATATCTGGCATGTACATTATTTGCATGCTATTTATATTCAGATTGTGTGACAATGTTGAAAGAAAAATCCCCATATAGAACTAATATGTTATTCAAGATATGACCGGTAATTGTACAAACTTAAGTGGTATTTCCGCTGCAAATAGGGGGCAGCAGCTCTCCATCCTTGCAGAGATCCAGTCTCACAACATTTGGTGAAAAGGACACGTCACTCATGTTAATACAGTATTTGTTGTATTGTGACTTAGGTGACATATTACATCATGAATAAATAATTTACAAATGATCTGTGATGTCTATTCATAAATAATGAAAAATGGATGCAGAAAATTATTGCATGCTTAAAAACGGAAAAGAACAACCCTCGGTTTTCTTTACCATTAAACTGTTACCAGTTGACTACATTTCACCCAGGGAAGACATTTATATAGTTAAGAAAATGAAACATATGTTCAAATTAATGTCATACAAAATGGGTTAAAACTCACTGGAGGAATACAAAAACCAATTGTCATTATAGTGATTAGACAATGTCTATGGGAAAAGTAATTGACAACTCGACGTTACACTTTGCTTTCGACCCCAAGGGGTCGTTGTTGTCCACTGTTTGAACGCGCAAGTCTTTCTCTTTTCTTTTCTTTTCTGACGCAGATGTGACTGCTTGCATATGACTGGCTCTGTCTGCTGTTTGAATGAAAACAGTCGGTCCGCCTTTTCTCCTCCCACTCCCGCACTCTATGTGTTCTGTGAGCTCTCGTCTCATATTTTACAATAACCGCGAGATCTGCACATATGGGTGGTGTTTTTTTAACTGTGTGTTAGTGGAAATGGCCCTTTTTGAAGTGTATCTGGCTGCTTCTGCCCGCCCACAAGTTAACATGTAGATGTTGGCCATTAAGATATTTAGGAAAGAGATGTTGTATGTATTTATGAGATGGGAAGATGGATATAATGTGATATAATTATCGTGCAGACCTTTCACACACACACACACACACACACACACACACACACACACACACACACACACACACACACACACACACACACACACACACACACACACACACACACACACTGTCATAGGGCCAAGAACAGGGCTAATGTAAAAAACATGATCTTCTTGGAGACTTGCTGCATAATGACCACTTGAGTCCAGCTGCGCTTTGTATGAGATCACCATTTTGCAAAAAGACGACGATTGTGTATCGTTAAGACTGTTGGTTTGAATGCAAAGAGCGCTGCATTGGAAAAAATGTTTATTGTTTGCTAATCCATGATACGGAAAAAGCTCAAACTCAATACACAACTGTGCCGCATCAATCTAACAAACACATTTTGTCATTACTGCGCCTATCAAACGCCGTACCTTATATGTCAATATTGGTCTTTGCTTCACCTCTTCCAAAGTCTATTCCCTCCTCCCTCTTCACACGGCTTCCAGGGTGAAATGGCATTCTACTAATAAGATGTACCAGATTTGTATTCATCCTAGAATAAAGGTGAAGGTGAAGGGAAATTGAATAAAATGGTGTGAGCAACAGCCCCACAGAGCACAAGACGTATTGATAAGTAATAATGCTAAGTAATACGATCAGGAAAAAAAGAGCTAAATTGGGAGTAAATTAAACGTATCTCTCAGCAGGGTGTAGCATGGAGCCCACAGTGAGATAGAACATGCAAACATTTAACATCCATGGGACTTACTGCCTCTGAACAGATGATTAGTCCGTGAATTAGGTATTAGTTGTCAGCAGTGTCCCACAGCATGTGCTACGCAGTCAGCATGGAGTCCTTCGTCATTTAGGCAAAGACATTAGCATGTAGCCACATGTATCTCAATGTAGCACATGATAAAGCATTAGCATGGAGACCACTGTATTGTTTAGTGTATGCTTAAATGTTGCATTCTACATTTATTTGATTCAGTCGGGTATCAGCATGGAGACTAGCATCTCTCCCAGCGTGTGCTTCATTGTTAGCATTTAGTCTATTGTCCATGAGTGTTGCCAGAGAGTTTACTGTCTCTCATAAACTATACCAGTGATAGCGTCGACTCTTCAGTATGTTAGCGTAGTGTAGACATTAGGACAGAGTTACTGTATCAATCATCGTAGCATTTTACAAAAATATTTGCATGCAGTCTCCTGTTTGTGCGTGTTAGTGCAGCGCATAATGTCACGGCAAGCATTTTTTCCAAATTACTTTTGGTCTCAAGTTCAAACAATGCCTTGGAATATTCCACTGGTTTAGATACAGATGCAGAATGGTCCGATTAGGGTTTACTGTTCGTTATACAATAAGGTTCATATCCACATACGCATTCCAGGCATTTTGTCAGTCTTTGTCATATTTGGGTCATCACGTCCTGAGCTGCATAATAGTGTTTGGTTTGTTAGAATATAAAGCCCGCTGACCCATTTCATTCTAATGGATTGGAGTAATTGGTGTGTGAGTGTGAATGTGTGCATGCATGAGTATGATTGATACAGTAACCAAAAGAAATTAATTGTAATACTAAAATGGGAGTTTATGAGGATGACAAAGAACCGTACGATCAAGGGGTGTGAGGAAAGAGAGGCCTGAGAATCAGCAGAACCCGACTGGTACCGCAACAGCCAGTGTATAGGTATTGCCCTCATCTGCAGCATTAATCACCTCCTCTTATTCACCAGCAATATTCATGCACAACCACATAAACACACACACTTACATGCACACATCCGCCCCCCCCAGCCACTCGCAATAGACTATAAATCAAGTCTTTTACGATTGAAACATCACATTCACAACCGGTGCTTTTATTTGCTAAGATGAATGAAGTGGTTATAAAAAAGCCATTATCCACCCATCATGATGACAAGGTGACTTTATGTTAATAGTTAATTGCACTTCATGCATTAAAACTCCCTCAAAACTTTGCAAAGAGTCCTATATCGCAATCCCCCTGTTGACCTGCAGCCTCAAAGTCAAATGCAGCATTTCTGTTAAAATGCATACTGCTACGGTATATTCAGATGTTGAGATCGCAGCCCCCCCCCCCCCCCCCTGCCTCTGTTAGTAACCACACAGCTATGTGTCACAAGCTGTAATTCAC